TGACTGTATGCTTTTAATTTGCTTGTTGGTCCTAGTTTATGAAATCTGATTAGGTAGCTTAGGGTGAGTAGTTTATCTTAAGTATGTTTGTGACTGTATGCTTAACACACATAAAACTTAGTAATTTTTATAGCCAACATGAACGTAACTAAACATATAAGGCTAGTATAATTATCGAATCTAGTTTGTTTACAATACAAAAAGCTTTAATCAATATAAACATATATATATAGTAAAAAGAAAGCTTTGATTGCATCGGATCATGGGTTTGTTAACTTGCAATTTGTTTGAATACTGGTTAGGTAGATTCCTCCTCGAGACCATTTTTAGAGAAGGGTAGTAGTAGAGATTATATATAAAAAATGATGTTGTTGAATGATAATGGTGGCAAGATTTAGGATTACTGTATTACCAACCTTTTTCTTGTAGCTTGATGGTGATTCTGGCCTTTCCTCCAAACTTCTTGCTGCTGTCTTTGCGTCGTCTCCTCCTTTCCTGGTTTTGCTGCTTTTTGTTGTGTTTTTCTTCTTTGTGTGGCTAAAGAACAATTAAGTGAAAAGGAATCTGTTGTGTTTTCCTCTTTTCTGTGTGGCTTTTGGTGATTGTGGGATGGTTATTTGCTGTAGGAATGGGAAACGAATGTTGTTGTGTTATCGTTTTATTTTTTATCTAATGAAAGAGAGGAAGCATGGAGGGTTTTCTTTCCACTGCCTTTTATCTTTTTGGCTTTTGCTCTCTGTTTGTATGTGTTTTTGTGGCTGAGAAGAATCTGAGAATTTTGTAGGGTTTTTGCTCTTCGTTGTCTGTTTGTTCAGAGACGGGAAGGTGGGGATGAAGAAAGAAGGGACTGGTTTTTGCAGAATTTTCGTTGTCTTGTCTTTTGATCAGAAAAGAAAAAGAAGAAGGAAGAAGAAGGTGTCAGGTAAAGGAAGAGAGTCAGGGGAGTTTTTCTTGTTGTCTGTGTGTTCCTCTTTTTTGTTTGGAATTTTGAGGAAGAAGGAGCCGAACAGCAGAAGGAAGGAAGTGACAGAGAAGAAAAGGTTCAGGGAATGTTTTTTTTTGTTCTGCCCTCATTTTTACCAGAGCTAAAGAGCTCTTTTTATAGCCAAAAATCATGTGTTGGCACAATGTAATTGGATTTGAGAGGTTATAGGGGCCACCCTCATGTGTCCAATCTCATAAGACCCAATGTTTTAACAGCCAATTACACAATCAATTTTGTGACCAAAACTAAGTGAATGTTAATTCATCTAATCAAAGCATGTCATCCTTATCAAATTGTACCAATTAAGATTAGCTATTGCTATTCTCATTGATCCACATTGTACCGATGAGCTATGGCCAACAAGACTCCTCATTTCAACACTAAAAATACATTTTTAGTTAAAAGATCATTTAAGATTTGCTATTGCCAACCTTAAACAAAAATTAAATTTTACTTAATTAGATACGTTTTACCCGGACAAAAAGTGGTGTCTACAGTTGCCCCCCTTTTTATATTTCTTGAATTTAAAGAGGTATACAAAGTTATCATAGCACACAATTATTGGCCGATTTACTAATAGAGTTGTCATTATCAAGAGTTTGGTTTACTCACCAACTTTCTTAAAGTTTAATGAGAATTGAGGTCATTGGGTAGCTTCCATGCTGTGTAGCCATCTTTGGCAGTGTAGCTGAGATGAAGGTGTCAATTAGTTTCTTACGCAGTGTAGCCGTCCTTCAGTGTAGCCTTCTAGTGGGTCCTGATTAGCTCCCTCACAGTGTAGCCGACTTGTGGGTGCTGATCGGTTTCCCTCTCAGTGTAGCCTTCTAGTGGGTCCTAATTAGCTCCCTCGTAGTGTAGCCAACTTGAGGGTGCGAATTGGTTTCCCTGGCAGTGTAGCCTTCTAGTGGGTTCTGATTAACTCCCTGGCAGTGTAGCCTTCTTGTGGGTGTTAGTTGATTTCCCTCGCAATGTAGCTTTCTTCGTAGTGTAGCCTTCTTATGGGTCCTGATTAGCTCCCTTGCAGTGTAGCCTACCGTGGGTGCTAATGGGTTTCCCTCGCAATGTAGCTTTCTTCACGGTGTAGCCTTCTTCGCAGTGTAGCCTTCTTGTGTTTGAGGATATGCAGAGTGTTTTTTTAAACCTTCATCATAGGTGACATGGAGTTGTATGTTTGATAGGAAATGTTAAAGCAACCAATTGAGAAATTCTAGACGAAATTCAGATAGGTCTAGAACTTGAACTTGCAAAGTTTGTATGTGATGTCAAATGTTTATGATTATATGATATGATGCAATATCATGGTGAGATATGTCAATGAAAATGTTATTTCACTTTAAGTAAACTTTGAAAATGATTGATGTTTACTTTAGCTATGAATTTCTTGATCTACCTAATGAATGATGTCATATGATTAGTTTGAAGTGCATTCGGAAATTATGCCATATGATGTATGTGAAGTGCATTTGAAAAAGGTTGTATGATAAGTCATATGATGATGTCTTGAAGGGTATGCAGAGGACAGAGCATAATGCCTAATCACGGTCTTGTTGTTATGGTCATGAACTCTCTTAAATTGATCACCCACAAGGAAAATATGTCATTCCCCTTTAGCAAACTTGATCCTTAGCGATGCTTGCATTGGAGTAACATGGGTGTCGTCGGTGGGTACTTTCTTTCTTCGACTTGAGCCATCATCTCGACGTATTGGGCTTGCCATCTAGTATTTCCTCTTTGTCTACTCATTGAGCCCAAGGTATGCCATTTATGGGGATTGATGGAAGGTTGGTCCTCTGCTTTCTCTACCTTGAACACTAGTGCTTGAGTGGCTGATGTGTTAGCCATATGATTTTCTTATCATGGGGTGTGCTTGGTACTTTGATTCTATTGGAGGATTGGTAGTGTAATGGTCAGAGGATAATGTGCTCCCTTAGCTCGATTTATATTCTTGTTATGTGAGTATGTCGTGTTTGGCTAAGAGGAATATGTTATCTAGGGTATTGTCTTGTTGATGTCGGTTTCCAAAATATGCTAGATTGACTTCGCCGGAATGTGTTAGTCACAGAATACGCCATGGGAGGATAGTCGATCGACCCGTTGCTCCAACTAGTGAAGGGTATCTTGAAATCTCACAACGAATTAGTGAGAAGATTGAGTATTGGACTTGTGAGAATTTCAAATTCTCCATCTTCAAGGCCACATCAAGTTGTATCCCAAGATCTGTTGTGCACTTTCATATTGTGGTATGTCCAATCGGTGCCAACTGTTGGGTTGCTTGTTGCTCAAGGTAGGGTTCCATGTATCTTCTCTTGAGTAATCATGGTATATTGGTAGTCATGAGCCCCTTATAGGATAGTTGCTTTAAGGATGATTTGACCGAATAGTAGGATTGCTTGAACGGAGTGATTCAATGTTTCTTGTTTACTCATGATTTAGAGAGTAGGGAAACCCACATTATAAGTATGTGAACTTCTTTCTTTCTTGGGTCACACCATTTGCCCCCGAGAAGATGTTACTTGCTTTCCACTCTTTGAAACAAAGTGTAACTTTTGCCAATCTTGATTTAAGACGAATGCAAACAATGTTTGACAAATCTTGTTTGAAAAAGTATAATGGGAACCTGATTTTAGAAATGAAAGCCTCGATTGAGGGAAGTGTGTGCAATTTTGAGAAAAATAATTTATTGTGTGATTATTGCCACATTGTTAAAAATTTATTTTTTATAAGCCATGCCATGAGAATATTCATAAGCCCTCGCTCTCATTCTCACTTTCAAATCACTCTCACTCAATCCTATGGGTGTCTTGAGTATACGATACTTCAGCTGCTATCAAGATTCTCGTCACCATGTTGATGGGAAAAATGTGTTCAAGGTAGAGACTGATCATAGAGAGAAGGGGTGATCTTTATATGGTCATGTCGTAGGATTTCTTGAACTTTCCATAAATGAGGCTCTTTTATGATATGGGTTCCAATCGTAGGAGTTTTCGTGTTTTGGGAAGTTTACGTTCCCCAGATGAGAGGCAGGTAAAGGAAATTTATATGAAATTTGACTTTGGTCATGTGAAACTTTGTATTGGGGGATATTTGGCTTGCCCCGAGGGTATGAGACGAGTTGATGGATATAGGGGATCTTTGTCGAGGAAGTTTTATTTTCCTCGAGAATGGTAGTTTATCTTGGGTACATTTTGAATCACGTTGCCTACCCGTCTTGAAATTTTGGTTTTGAGGTGTAAGCTCGAGTGGCGAAGTAACTGAGTTGATTTGAGTATAAACTCCATTTTTGAATTCCTCTCGCTTATAGAGGTCTCAGTTTGATCTTGAAAGGATGGATAAAGGAGGTCTAGGTATAATGCAGGCTCTGGCTTTTGTGTGGCAGGCATGGCTGCTGAAGTCTTCATCATGGGGTTCTTGCTCTACTTGAAAATGTTGGATAATAGGGACCATCGTGGGATATACTTTAGCATATATCGATATTCTCATCTTGGTAATCCTTCTCATTGGGTTCTCTTGGGTTATTTATTCATACTAGGTAGGCAGGTATATTTTGGTTTAGAAAGCCGGCTCAATTGGTGGCTAGCCTACTTGGTGCATAGATTTTGCTGGTTGAGAAAATGGTCATACATTGTGCTCTTGTAACTACATTGAAGCTCAAACTAAAATGATCTTTTTGGGCCTATGGTATATAGACCATACTCAGGGGGTATCTAAATAGTAAGTCCCACAACTGTTTTCTTTTTTTCTTTTTCTTGCCTTATTGGCTTTTTTACTCTTTTTTATGTGGGACCTACTTAAACTTTTTATGCCCCCATACATGTGGTCATTTTTTACTTTTCAGATTTTGGTACACGAGCATCGAATGTTATGAAATTTGTGATCGTGTTGATTTTTGTGAGCAGTCCTTTTTGTTGGCTAGGCGAATTGTTCGTTCCCTTCTCGAAGAAGAAAGATCACTGATGTCGAGTCTTTATTGTGTTGTTTGAGTAGTTTTTCCGCTCAAGCATTGGACTTTGAAGCATGGAACATTTTGTGCTTATTCCTCAACCGATTGTGTGGGTTTTATGCGTGCCCTAACCTTCTAGCAATGAGGGTTTCATGAGAACATGGCTATTACGATGTAGACATCTTGCTTGTTATGGATAATAGTTTGACTACTCGAGCTTGTATCTAGTTGTGTCCTACTTTGGTAGAGATTGGTTATGGTAGTGACAAGCTTCTACAAGTAGCCTGGTATCGTATCTTCGTTACACCCTTTGACTATTTAGCTCGCATTTTTTATGGACACCAGAGGGGTGTTTATACTCTCAAGTTTAGTAAACTGAGCAGACTCTCAACATTAGCGAAGCGCTCAAATTCATTAAACCAATAGGGTGTTTATAATCACTCTGCACCAGTGGGGTGTTCAAACTCTCAATATCAGTAGGGCATGCACAGTTTGATTATTAGCGGGGCGCAAAAAAATTTATACTGAAGAATGTAATCACTCGACACCAGTGGGGTGCTTATGGTTGCTTAATATGAACATCTCATGGCTTAACTTGAAAAATATGAAATGAATTTTAAGGATCCCAGTTTTAGAAAAGAAAAGTTTATTTTAAAGATCTGGAAGAGATTTTTATCATTTGGTAAAGAGAAGGATCATTGATGCAAACTTCTAAATCAAGATCGATAGTAGTCACACAATATTTCAAATTAGTGGAAATGCAAATGACATTTTATTCTTCATGAAGAATGCAAAGGCTGGTACATTTATTGAATATGCTAAAGTGTCTCGACATTTATTTGCTTACGAGGATCAACAACATCATCGAATCGAGTCTTGTTTCGTGGTAAGCCTACTGACTTGCATGATTAGGCAACAGGTTGTTGTTGATGCCGAGATTATTTGTATCTCCTTCAAATTCCAACCAACCAAAATTCACCATCTGTTGCACCTTTATCTTCAGTCTCCTACAATCCTCGGTGGAGTGTCCCGCTACTCCAGAGTGGTACTCACAATGTTGCTCTGGCTTATACCAAATTGGGTAAGGAGGTTGTATTTGTTGGCATGGTATAGGAGCAATCAAATGCTTTTGGACTAGTTGTGGAAAAAGCTCGGCATATGCAATGGGAATGGGATTTATTTGAATGGTTTTTTTTGCATCTCCCACCACTGTTTTGGTTTTGTTTATTTGGTAGTGGGGTCTCGAACAATGGAATTTGGATCCCTAGTTGTGGGGCGAAGTTTGGTTGTTGCATTGCCGGTATATTGTTTGTGACATACGAGTGAGCTTGATTGTTTTGAGGTTGGAACTTTAACATCTTCTCTTTTGCTTCTCGTTGGGTTGAATGGACTTTCATTTCCATTTTGTCATGGCTTGATCTCGTAGGAGCATCCGAAGTTCCCATCCTTCCTTGTTTAATTCCTTTCTCTATTTGTTCTCCAATTAACGACAAATCATTGAAGCTAGTTGTTGTAACTCCCAACATGTTGTTATAAAATGGAGGCTTCAATGTATCGAGGAATATTGATACCATTTCTTCTTCTGGTAGTGGGGGTTGAATACAACTTGCTTTCTTTTTCCACCTCTGAGCATACTCATGGAAAGATTCATTCTCCTCCTTCTCCATATCTTGCAGGTCTTCCCTATTTGGTGACAGAGTTTGAGGGGCCTTATGGTGCATCATAAACTCAGTAACTAGATCTCCCCATGTTCCGGCCTTAGTTTTCTCGAGCTGGGGGTACCATTCCAAGGCCATACCCCTTAGACTATATTGGAAGCATCTCATCATCAACTTCTCGTTTTGAGTATGGTTGGCCATTGCATGATGATACATGACCAAATGACTTCTAGGACAAGTGGTGCCATTATATTGTTCGAAATTTGGCATTTGAAATTCATGGGGGAACACCATGTATGGAACTTCATGTGGATGCGATGCATTCATAGCCTCGTATGATTCAAATTCTTTTATATTCTCACCCATGCACTCGCTTTGCCTTTCAATGTTGTGTTGATCTCTTGCTCTTCCAAATCATTTAAATCGTGTAAGTTATCTTGTTTTGATTCTTTAAGATCTTCTTGATCATACATGTTCTTCGAAGATATGGAGTCAAACTTGTTACTGGATGTTCCTTCACCGTGTGGTTGGCATAAGTTTTCGTCCTTGCGTAACACATCACCATCTTTGACTTCTACTGCCTTCTCCTTGTTGGTCAATATGCTCAAGATCATGCTAACTTCTTCCTTCATGCCTTCCGAGTCCCATCACCCTTCTTTTGATGTCGTCCAATTCCTTCTGGATTAACTCCATAGTGAGCTCGGCCATGGATCCGGTCGAGTACTTAAGGGTTTGACGTTATCCTCGTGGATGAGCAACCTTAGAGAATCCCAATTTTGTTAAGTCGTTTCATGGTTCTAAATGAGATGAATGCATGATGGTTATGCTCACTAATAGGATTGTAAATGCGACGTATTTTTCAGTGGATGCATATGTACTTTGTAACATGATTAATATGAATGAATGAAGAAATGATGGTGTAATGAGTTTAAATTTTTTCACACATACAAATAAATTACTGTCATTCACGAATGTTTTGCAAAACACACATTCCACATATAAACAAGACAAGAACTGATCATAAGATAAATTCTTTCACAAACTTTGCCTTATTGAGGTAAACCTAAGGTATTTCGGCAGCATAACATTGTGTATTTTGGGTAGGCTCTGGGATAAGTTCCCGTTTAGGTAGTTTCTAGGAAAACTATATGCTGGATAGGGATCTTAAGGAATCAGGCTCCCAAGTTGTACCGCACTATAACCCTTTCAAGTTTTAGCATGATACCCCAAATCAACCTCGGATTTGAGTTCAACTTGGTTGGGAAGTTTTCGCATTTCCCCTACTATTGTTGGAGTCACACTACTTTCTTCCCTTTTTGCTATAAGGACCTCTCGGGAATAGAGCTTTATGCATGGATGCAAAAAATTGAAATACATAACAAATTTAAAGCGCAAATTGATGTAATAAACACATAACACCCATTATAAGAAAGTAGGAAAAATTTATCGACGATTAATGTAGTTTGACTCTAGTACTTCCCCAGCGGAGTCGCCACTGTCGCAATCGTCCCTCGAGATCGGGAGATCCGTCGCGAATCGATTTGGAGTCACCATCGACCGTGCTTTGGGGTGGGTCGAACACCCTTTTCTGATTTTTTTTTGTTAAAACCAGAATTCTGGTCTGCGAATTTTAGATTGTTATAGGTTCGGGAGTACGGTTACGTGTGGGAAAGTGTATTCACACCCCACAACGCCCCATAACGGGTACTACGTAAATCGACAAGTTTTTAGAGATTGGGTGTAATGTTAATTGTGATTTGTTTGTGTATTTAATTGTAGGATTTTAATAATTTTGGGGTGTATTTATAGAGTTCAATTGGACGTAAATTTTGAATTGTTGTAGTTACTTGATAATTTTCACGCCTATTGACGTAAAAATATTTTTTAGATTGGTTGGACTCAAACCTATTGGTTGCCTACGTACCCGACTTAGTCGGGATCAAAGTCCACGTAGTTCGTTGTAATTGTGAGTTTTAAATGTTGAGTCTCACACGTTGAAATGTGAAGAAAATGTTTTAGCTTGACTCGAACCTATTGGTTGCCTACGTACCCGAGTAGTCGGGATCAAAGTCCACGTAGTTCGATGTGTTTAAGTTTTAAAATGAGTGATTTGAAATGTTAGCGTTCTTAACACGTTCTATTGATTGTGGCTATGCTAAGATGATAATTTGAGTTATTAGGTAATGTATTTATGATGTTTCAACTTAGTAGTTGAATGGTAAAACCATCTTTCAAATGATTCCACCGAGAGTAACTATTATGGTTTATTTATCATGATTTCGTATTAAGATATTTTCTAAGTAAAACGAGCATGGGTATGAATAATGAAGCCAAAGCGAATGTGGTAACGAAGGTTTTTAATATCTTGAAATGTTTAGAGGTATACATAATTTAGCTAAAGCAAAAATCCTAGGACGATTAGATGACACGAATATTATTTATTAACGTTAAACACGAAGAAGAGTAGATGAGGAGATCAAAGTTCCAAGTATGATAGCATAGCTTAGTGGTTGGTTGCCCTGACCTGAAGCTATTAGTGATGACAGGGTCTCTGGTTCTAGACTTCACAGTCTCAAATTTGTCGATTTTAAGGGGTTTGATTTTGATTTTCTTTGGATTTAGGGGTTGTTTAGGGTTCTGATTGTATTTTTTGGTTTCTTCCATTTTGGCAGAGGGTGGAAAGAGAGCATGACTGGAAAGAAAGAGGGTCACCACCGATGAGCACTGACAGTGTTGCCGACGACAGACATGGCAGGTAAGTAAGATTTTGGGCCCGAATCTAGAAATTTTGTTTTGCTGGTTTTAATTCTAGAAATTTTGGTTTGAGATGATTGAGTATGAATTCTGGAAAATTGTGGTTGTTCAAAATTGGTATTGAAACTGGGGATTTGTATGTATGACTGGGTTTTAAGACTAAGCTTATGTGTGTATGTGATGAATTCGGAAATCTGTTCTAGGTTTTTTTTATTTTAACCTGTGTATGGGTTTAGAAATTAAAGTTTGTTTGTAATCTAGAATTATGTGTCTGATGATTAAAGCTTTAGTTTTGTATTGAGTTAGTGTTTAACGTAGTTTGGAAGGGTTTGGTTGTGTTAGTGTGGTAATTTGGCATATAAATTCGTTGGATATAGTTTGGTTTCGGTATTCTTTGTTGTATTTGGGGGGATCTAGGTCAGATTTATGGTTTGTGGATGGTCTAAATCTGGAAATTGTGGTGAGAATGGTTTAACTCTGGGACTTTGATAGTTTTGACAAATGGTGTTGCAAATCTGAGTTTTGTGTATGGACGTGTGATTATGAATAGATTAGAGGGATTTCCCTTGAAACAAAATCGAGTCTTGCTTGTCTAGCTTAATTATAGCCTTTTATTGAGTGAAGTTTTGATGGTTTCAATCATTTGTGCTATATGCTATAAATGATGTCGTTGCTATGCATATGGAAATGATGGGTAAACAGAGTTTGTCTTTAAAGACAATATGACTAAGAATGAAAGGGATTACAATAAAGGCACACTATATGTAAGATGTAACATATAAGTAGTAATAAATAGTGTTAAATGAGGTGTTTATGGAATTAGGTTATGATGTATCTCGATTTGGGGGTAATTTAGGGTAGGTTTCTACCATTGGGGAATTCTGGCTTTTTGTGATCATTTTAGGGGGTTCAAATCTGGAAATCTGTGTTATGGTGTTCATGATGAGTTTGATTCTGAGAATCGGTTGCCGGTGATTGTTTTGATAATCTGCTATAATGGTTAGTTTGGGATTTTTGTGATAATTGCTCAAACTTTTTAGACGGGTTTTGGTGTTGGGAGATTTGTGTTGTTTATGATGGTTTGCTGCCGGAAATTCATATTCATGGGGTGCAATTTTGGAGATCTGTGTGTTTGTTTCTGCTTTGGGATTATGTTTGCTATTTGTGTGTAAGGTTATGAACAAGAATAGGTTTAGAGTTTATAAACTAAAAGCTGGTTTAATTTGCTTGTTGATCCTAGTTTATGAAATATGATTAGGTAGCTTAGGGTGAGTAGTTTATCTTAAGTATGTTTGTGACTGTATGCTTAACACACAGAAAACTTAGTAATTTTTATAGCCAACATGAACGTAACTAAACATATAAGGCTAGTATAATTATCGAATCTAGTTTGTTTACAATACAAAAAGCTTTAATCAATATAAAAATATGTATATAGTAAAAAGAAAGGTTTGATTGCATCAGATTATGGGTTTGTTAACTTGTAATTTGTTTGAATACTGGTTTGGTAGATTCCTCCTCGAGACCATTTTTAGAGAAGGGTAGTAGTAGAGATTATATATAAAAAATGATGTTGTTGAATGATAATGGTGGTAAGATTTAGGGTTACTGTATTACCAACCCTTTTCTTGTAGCTTGATGGTGATTCTGGCCTTTCCTCCAAACTTATTGCTGTTTTCTTTGCGTCGTCTCCTCCTTTCCTGGTTTTGCTGTTTTTTGTTGTGTTTTTCTTCTTTGTGCGGCTAAAGAACAATTAAGTGAAAAGGAACTGTTGTGTTTTCCTCTTTTCTGTGTGGCTTTTGGTGATTGTGGGATGGTTATTTGCTGTAGGAATGGGAAACGAATGTTGTTGTGTTGTCGTTTTATTTTTTATCTAATGAAAGAGAGGAAGCATGGAGGGTTTTCTTTCCACTGCCTGTTCTCTTTTTGGCTTTTGCTCTCTGTTTGTATGTGTTTTTGTGGCTGAGAAGAATCTGAGAATTTTGCAGGGTTTTTGCTCTTCGCTGTCTGTTTGTTCAGAGACGGGAAGGTGGGGATGAAGAAAGAAGGGACTGGTTTTTGCAGAATTTTCGTTGTCTTGTCTTTTGATCAGAAAAGAAAAAGAAGAAGGAAGAAGAAGGTGTCAGGTAAAGGAAGAGAGTCAGGGGAGTTTTTCTTGTTGTCTGTGTGGTCCTCTTTTTTGTTTGGAATTTTGAGGAGGAAGGAGCCGAACAGCAGAAGGAAGGAAGTGACAGAGAAGAAAAGGTTCAGGGAATGTTTTTTTTGTTCTGCCCTCATTTTTTCCAGAGCTAAAGAGCTCTTTTTATAGCCAAAAATCATGTGTTGGCACAATGTAATTGGATTTGAGAGGTTATAGGGGCCGCCCTCTATGTTTGTGTAGCTTATAGATTGGGTTGGACCGGTTTGGGTATGTGAAGTGGGCTAAACCGGTTTGGGTTGGGTTGACATGGGCATGATTGGTGAATTGAGGTTTTTGGGCTTTTGTGTGTACTGACCCGTTGACTGGCATTGACCAGAGTTGACTGTGCTTTGACTTGGGCAGGCTTGGATAATTTTATTTTGGTAGTTGTAATTAGTTGTTCTGTAATATATTTGTATTAGTAGTTTTTATTTAGTAATGTGATTGTATTTAACGTAATTGTAACTTATTTTAGTGAGATGTTATTTCTATTCCTAATTCTTCTTTTATTTTATCTATTGAAACCAAAGTTCAATCTCATAAGACCCAATGTTTTAACAGCCAATTACACAATCAATTTTGTGACCAAAACTAAGTGAATGTTAATTCATCTAATCAAAGCATGTCATCCTTATCAAATTGTACCAACTAAGATTAGCTATTGCTATTCTCATTGATCCACATTGTACCGATGAGCTATGGCCAACAAGACTCCTCATTCCAACACTAAAAATAAATTTTTAGTTAAAAGATCATTTAAGATTTGCTATTGCCAACCTTAAACAAAAATTAAATTTTACTTAATTAGATACGTTTTACCCGGACAAAAAGTGGTGTCTACAGCCACATAACGGAGTGGGTTAATGTTAGGCCAAACCACACCGGGAGCCCTCAAATCGAAAGATTTGGATAGTGGACTAGGCTCCCAGTGGAACAGACAAGCAAATCAACCCCAAATAACCATCCAATCAGCCATTCACCAAGCAATTTCCAACCACGCATACAAGGGGACTTATCTACACATGCAATTGGTAGGCCGGCGAAACTAATTCATGGGAATAATAATTTCAAGCATATAAACGCCGTCGTCCTACCAAAATGATCCAAGTTTAGGCCAAAATCTCAAGTTCTTCCCCTATAACCCTATGTAACAATTCTCCAAAATTGACCAAGATAAAATGAGAAACACACCTAGAGACGCAAGTAGATAATATAGGGAAGGTGAAGAGAAGGAAAAAGCACTCCAAAATCATTGGAGAACTCGCCACCGGTGACCCAACCTCCGCCAAACGGGACCAAACTTCTGGGGAATGTTCTCCCCTATGCCAGGAGCGTAGTAGTGGTCTCGGTTTTTTTTTTGGAGGTCGGGGGAGAGAATTTTGGCCGGAAACCCACAGGGGGAGAGGAGAGGGCCGATTTTCCGGCGAGAGGAGGGAGGGTGGTTTTTGAAAAAAATGAGATCTGGGGGGAGAAGGGGCCAGATTTTGATATTTATAGGGGGCGTAAAAGCACGGGCGGGCCCAAAACACTGCAGTGTTTCTGGTGCTCCGCACCCGTATTTTTACTACCGAGGCCCGGCTCCCCCTTTTATTAGAACACGAGTGGACATGGGTCAAAACATGGGCGTGTTTTCAACCCTTGGAGCTCGTGCTTTTACTGTCGAGGCTGTGCAGGGTGTAAATCCAAAACATGGGCGGGCAGGGGAGGAAACACGGCTGTGCTTTCAACCCCTGGCGCCCGTGCTTTTACTGCTGAGCCTGCATCTACAAAATTTCAAAATTCGTTTTTCAAACAACCAAACCTCATCCGTGCCCCGGCTCCTAAAATGCACAGCCACAAAGAAAAACAGACTGCCCTGGGCACGAGATACTTTCCAGACAGACTCCAGATAGACTCAATGACTCAAAAAACTGATAAAATTGAAAGGGAAAAAGGGAAAGATATGAAAACCGTGGTGGGTCTTCTTTACCGTCTTTTAGCTGGACTCCCATGGCGAAACTAAGGGTCCGCGAGTTCAACTACCAACTCCGCACGCTCGACCTCATCTCCAAGATAGAGCTTGAGACGATGGCCATTCAATTTAAACGGCTTAGTCTACGGGGTGGCAATCTCCATCGTGCCATACGAGAATACCTGTGTGACCGTGAACGGTCCAGACCACCAGGAGCTGAGTTTTCCATGAAAGAATTTTAGGCGAGAGTTATAGAAGAGAACTCGATCGCCAACCTGAAACTCCTTTGGACCCCTCAATCGAGCGTCGTGAAGATGCTTAGTTTGCTCCTTATAAAGCTTGGTGTTTTCATAAGCGTGGTAACACCATTCCTCCAGCTCCAGCATCTGCAATTTGCGTTCAGCACCTGCAAGACTAACGTCCAAGTTGTGCTCTAGCTCCACTGGCAAGTGACATGCCTTTCCATAGACAAGACGATATGGCGAAGTACCAATTGGCGTCTTGTAGGCATTCCGGGATGCCCAGAGAGCATCATCGAGCTTGGTGGAGCAATCCTTGCGAGATTGATCCACCATTTTCTCCAGTATGCGCTTAAGCTCCCAATTCGTCTGCTCGTCCTGACCACTCGTTTGGGGGTGGTAGGCCACAGCCACCTTGTGGGTGACACCATAGCGAGAGAGTAATTTATCGAACTGGCTTCAGAAACTGGCAAACACGTCTAGCATCATTGGTTGGCAAAGCTTGCGCCTCAGCTCACCTAGAGACGTAATCAACAGCAACTAAGATGTACGTGTTACCAAATGATGGAGGGAAGGGACCATGAAGTCGATACCCCTGACATAAAAAAATGTCAAAAGCTATAAACACGTTCTAGGGCATCTCATCACGTGCAGAGATGTTACCTGACCTCTGGCATCGATCGCACCTACATGCGAAGGTGTTGGCATCCTTGAAGAGCGAGGGCCAGTAGAAGCCCGACTGTAGTACCTTCCCCGCCGTGCGGTTATCGCCATGGTGCCCGCCAGTAGGCCCCTCACGACAATGAGACGTAATGCTCTCCATCTCATTTTCCATAATACATCGACGGATGACCCCATCGGCTCCGATCCTGAAGAGATGCGGGTCATCCCAGAAGTAGTGCTTGAGGTCGGAGAAAAACTTCCTCTTAGCGTGAGTCGTCATCCCCTTGGGCAGCTGCTAGCCCACCAGATAGTTTGTGAAATCAGAGTACCAAGGGGTGACACTCTCCACCAAGCACATCATCATCAGTCGCTCATCTGGAAAGGAGTCGTTGATCTCCTCCCCGAGGTTGTCCGCAGGGGGTGCGTCCAACAAGGAGAGATGATCAGCAGCAACATTTTCAGCTCCCTTCTTGTCCCGGATCTCAATGTCGAACTCCAGTAGTAATTAGACACATCGTATGAGCTGAGGCTTGGCATCGGCCTTGCTCATCAGGTATCGTATCACGAAGTGATCAGTGTACACAGTCACATGGGACAAGACCAGATAAGGACGAAACTTATCAAATGCGAACACCACCGCTAGCAGCTCTTTCTCTGTGGTGGTATAGTTCTCTTAGGCATCGTTCAGGGTCTTCAAGGCGTAGTAGATAGGACGGAAGTGTTGATCTCGCGTCTGCCCCAGAACAGCTCCAAGAGCAAAGTCACTGGCGTCGCACATCAGCTCGAACGATAAAGACCAGTCAGGAGTGACCATGATAGGAACATGAGTGAGCTTCTCCTTCAAAGTTGTGAATGCCGTTGTGCACACATCAGTGAAATGGAAGGGGGCATCCTTCTCAAGGAGCTTCTCTAGGTTCGGTGCCAATCGTCGTTGGGGCTGTCTCACAGGCCGCATCTCATCCTTTAGCAGTATCCGGTGGCAACAGAAGGAGGGCTGATCCGCCTGATATTAGTGATTTTCCATGCCAGAGCTCGCTCATACTACTTCAACAAGGCCACCAGTCTGGCCTTCTGCTCGGGTGTGAGGGTCGAGCTTATGATGACTGGAAGTTTGTTCCCCTCCTGGAGAAATGCAT